TCATATATATATAGTTCCACTGCACGTAAATAGAGAGCATAAAGATGAAGAGCAAGTCAAGGATTCTCTGGGCAGCTCTCTCGCCTGCGTCTTTGCCTTCGTGTCGAATTGACATCGTGCCTAGGGTGCAAAGACACAATTACAGAGTGATTGTAACTTCCAGAGGAATGGAGGTGTTTCATGAAAAGAACAGAATATCACTTCCAGGCACTCCCTTGGCATCCTTCCCCCCATCTGGACAAACCGGGGCCCCCTGCAACGGTCCAAGTGGCCTCTTCCACCTCAGTGTTTGGTCTCACGTCAAAACAATGCCGGATTTCTGCCATGCCATGCTGCACAGCCCTGCACCTGCCATGCCCTGCGCACAGTCCCCGCACCCTGCCTGAGTGGTCAGGACCTTCATGCGACTTTCGGAGTCCTCGATCACCCGCATCAACAACGGAAGTGTTCTTGGCCGCAACCATCTCGTAACCAAATTTAGTTGTTCATGTCCCTATGTTCCACTGAACCACAACAGAACATGCCTATAGAACCATAACAGAACATGCCCATAGATTATCAATTTGGAAGGTGACTTCGATCCCACTTCAGTGATGCTTGCATTTTGTTCACACAACAAAATCAAGCAAACAATGTCCTTCTGCACATCCAAGACTTGAGCGGAGCATTCGTGTAGGCCATGGCGCACTGTTTCCTGCAGAAATCGTACGAACAAAAGCCCCCAAGTGACAACAAGCAGTTGCGAAGTGACGGAATTCTCAAGAGCAGGGTAGGCAACAACAGGTTCTTGCTGCCAGTCGAAGGAAGCTTCCAATGTGTGTGTGCGTGTGTGTGTTATTAAAAGCTGTGGACAAGTCTGTCTTTCGACGGCATGGGGAGGATTCAAAACGCATTGTTGGGGCTGCACAGGCTAGAAAAATGAGAGGTATTGAAAGTTTGAGTAGACAGAGAAAGAGAGAGAGAGAGAGGGAAGTATCAAAAAGTTGTCTTCACTCACAAAGCACAGAAGCGGGTGTTCGTCCCCCTTTTCCTAGTGCGTGTGTTGATGTGCGTTTTGTGATATGGCTTGACTTGTGAGGTGAAGGGTCTGATGATGTCGATCTGATGTGGTGACCTCTATATAATGAAGCGTGGTGTTGTGGCGGCCATCGCTAGTAGGTTGGAGGCCATCGCTAGTAGGTTTGTTGCTATTTGTTGCTAATGTGTTGTTGTGACCTGTGACCCATGATGCGGCACATTTAAGAAAAAAACACGCGTACTCATGCCTGCTGAGTCGGCGAGTTGTGAAGTGGCGAAGTGTAGTGCGGTGATTCATGTTGTGATAACATGAGGAGATCGACTTGTCGATCCTTTTCTCATCTTTTCTGGAAAATCTTCACGTCTCTTCTTGTGTTTCTCTTCTTTCTCATCGAGCACCGTCGCTCCCACCGCATTCTCCGGACAAACGCGGATCGGCGGATCGGTGGTGTTTTGATCGAGAACCCTGTCATGTCCACAAAAGCCTATGATTTGGCAAATCTCCCCAAATCCTGATCTGAATGTGCAAAGCAAGAATAGCTTTTGGGCACATTGCACAAATTGTGATGCAACGCGAGCGCATCCTTCACCGTATTTTGCTCATCCTCCAGGTGGCCCATGGTGTCCTATGTCATTCATCGTGCCACGTGCGAAGCCCGAGTACGAAAAATCGGCTGGCAGAATGGTCTGTGAGCATATGTCACATTCTGTCACATCTCAATGAGTGCAAAGAGAGGTTCATGAGACAAACTCAGGAGGTTCATGACACTTCAGGTATCTTTCAAACCGCTCTGGAAGCTTCTGGCGCATGCAAGAAATCCTGCCAGTCGAATTTGCGTCTCCTTCATGATGCTAAAGTCACGCAAGAGGCTTTGTAAAAGGACTGCTAAGCGGATGAGTTCTTTCTCAACCTGGAGTGGACAAATGAACACATGAGTGTTCAGGAGATTCACACATCATAAGATCATAAGATCATCATAAAATCCCTTCAAGGTCTGTGGTGTGGTGAATTGCTTTTCTACGGGTCAACAAAAGAACAACAAACCGCCTCGACTCCACTCATCCGCCCATAGAAGCGGTCCTGCGCGGGATACAAAGGCCATTGCTACTCCGGCGTTTTCTTTCGGCCCTGAAGGCCTTGTCTACACTGGACAAACCATGTACTGAGGCCAAAAGGATGACATAGTGACAGTATGTAAGAGTTCTCTTTGCAATACATGTCTGACATTGTCTTAGATAGCTTTTTGGTTCTACATACAACCCCCAGGACCTGCAAGGTGCTGCCAGGTGCTAAGCAAGGACAAGGAATGGTTGATGATGGTTGATGTAAATTCCTTTCTATACAAGCTTGGTTCAGGCTTCAAGCAACAATCCCCGGCCTTGGCATCAAGACCCAGATTGACACCTGCACTACCTTCCATACGGGCCATGTTCATGCAAACCCAATGAAGTGCATTGAAATGTGGGAACAAATGGTACAAAAGCCAGCACCAGTTGGTCAGTTTGGTGCGGCCAGTTTGGTTGAAATGTCTTTGGGAACGAGAACTGAAAAGACATGTTCACGTGAGACACGTGAAACAGCAACTCTCACACGGCTCATGCCTGGATCCAAATCTGGCACCACACCATCCTGCACAAGCTGCCGGCGATGTAAACAATGCACGTTGAAATGGCTTCATGCAAACTGCAAACTGGTACAGAAAGGATTGTGGTCCTAACTGCAAAGGAACTGTCATTGATTCACTATATAGTATAATAATCAATAGCGTGCTATTATATACGTACATAAGACAAACAGTTGCTCAGCAAATTTGGCAGATTGCAACAGCATTCAAGCGTTGACTGGGGCCTCATCAACCGGCCATGTCTCTGCCACTTCCAGCACCTGGCAAAACGTTCGGCCAGAAAATATTTCACTACGACACCAGGTGCCCAACCTCTTGTAGAAGGCCCGTTTCGGTTTCAGCATCTGCAACCTGAATTCCAGAAAGGAATTCCGCTCAAAAACGGATGATTTCTGATGCACACCCTGAGTTTTGATGGCTCAAACTTTTGTATGTTCGGAGCAGATGTGAAAACACAAGGCACGGACCTCTTGGTCTTGGCCCAAGTGCTTTCTATCTGGAGAACCTCAAATCTTGGAGACTGCAGTGGCAAATTGATGACATTGCTCAAAAATCAACATCGGGTTAGGATGCATAATATAGGTACTATATATATATATATATGATTAAATGCCGATAGCGAAGTTCTGCCGTTTAAGTTAACGTTGAACTGCTGACAAACCATTCAGTAGTACAAGATCCAGATCGGTGTCCCCCCGCGGAAGACAAACATGCGTTTCAAAAAATGGTAAACTGGTAAACCATTGCTTCCTATCCTGTTTGTGTGATGCTGATGCTTTAGTTTCTTGCCGACTTTGAGGTCTTGCATTGTTCAAATGGAAACAGAACAGAAATGGTTATTCGTGGGAACACCAATTTTCTTTCCCGTTCAGTGACGCGCCTTACATGCCCAATCTTATCTTCCAGCGCAGGTGTTTAGGTCAAGCTTGAGTTTAGGCAACTTAAACAGGAACCCTTCAAACAAAAACCGTAAAGGGGTATTTTCATCGTGTGTTTCTTTTGAAGCGTGTTTTGAGTCCGTTGCTTGCGGCGTCGTTGTGTCCAAAGTGCAAACAGTGGTAAGTGATGCTTTACTGTTCTGTAACATGTTGATCATCTTCAAGCCTCATCTCCAGTGCCTTTTGCAGAGTATGATGACCCTGCATTATGTTGCATTTAAGCGGACTCCAAACTCACAAATCTCCAAACTCACAAGTACCTGGTTGGTTAGGGACCTGCATGTTTTCGTGCTGTTTGAACTTTGTCCAACCATGTGCAACCTATATATGTTTGCTTATATTTGCTCCATGTTGCAGATGCTCCGAGTTCCCTAAAGCATCTGTGCTTTCCTTGGTTTGCTATTTTGAATAGTATTGCAATCCAAACTTGAAATAAACTGCATCAATTGAATACTTTCTTGACCTAATTGACTATACCCTTTCCACAAACTTGCACACAGTCAAGAGATTGAAATCCCACCTGTGCGACATGTCATGACATTTCAGTGCCCATCTCTCGCTCTTTGATTCTCAGGTGCCCGGCTACAACATGTCTTTGACTCGGCCAGGTTCGAGAGTTGCTTCAAGGCTTTGGCACCTGAGCCGACACCTTTTTGATCGAAACTCTTCGAAGAGTTTCATGTCAATTGGAAGTCCGGCAAGTCAATGTCGGCTGACACTTTGTAATTATGCTTAAAAACACATGGTGCAAGTCATGCTCACGGATGCTCGCGGTCTGTCTGAAGGTCAAATTCTCGAGGAAAGAGTGGTGCACAGGTCTGCCAGTGTTTTGTTGCTTGATGATTGTGAGCGTCTATTCTATTCTATTCCCAATGCGACACCAAGACCCTTGTCACATCGATTCTTGTTCTCCTTCCGCCTCGAACTGGTCGAGGGTCTTCCTTCCATGTCGGTGTCATCAATCGAGAGCTTTGTACAAGGCGGCAGGTCTCACCTCAGCCGTCGACTTTGTGATGTTTTTATGTGTCAGTTCTAAGCTGTATGCATCATTATATAATCTCCCATACATGTCTCCATCTCAGGAAAATTGGGATCTGATCGATGCTGGGCTTGTGCAAAAGGCTCTTTTTGAAATCCACCGTGTAAGGGCTCGCTTTGGAGCCAACCTGGCGACAAAACTCCGGAGCTTCCCGACTTGTTCATCACTTTTCAACTCACATGCGACGCAACAAAAAAGTACTGTAGACTGCGTCCGCGTATCGACAATTGCAGATCTGTCGTGTGGCTGTTGCGCAGCTTGGAACACCACAGCTACATCCTGATCAAACATCCCTGCTAACAAATAGAGCCTAAACTGCGGTTGTCCTGTGTCTTCTTTCCCTGCCTGGATCACTTGGTTTACCCCAGGCATCGGCTGAGATCATCGAGAGCTCCTGGCAAGTATTCCGCATCGAGTCCAAAAAACATACCGAAGTACCGAAATGTCTGGAAGAATTTGAAGGTCCTCAAAAAGTCATGCTGTAGAGCATCTTCAGGAGCCAGTCGCTGCGCAGGTTCCGGCACCAAACATTTGCCTTGGCTTCAGAAAAGCAAACAGACTCAAACCACATTTTCCAGCAGATGTCGGTTCGTAACTTCTCGTTTGTTGAAGTTGAAGTGTTCAATTCTTTCTACTGTCAATATCAGCAAACTTGCAAACCAATCCAAAACAAAGGTATAAAATGGCATATTTGCCTCGTCAAATGCTGTAGCAGTCGGTGCAACACTTCTTCACAGTTTTGATGCCTTTTAATCAGCTCGAAGCAGCCATTGGTCGAGTCTAGCCAGGTGCCTACGCACAGTTTTGAAAAGGAATACAAATGAAACATGTTGAAGCTAAATAAGACGATCGGCTTAGAAGACCAGCGAAATGATCCAGCCGCACATCCTGAGGCAAGGCAAAGTCTGAAAGCTGTGTGGCGATGCGGTCAAGGCAAATCTGTTGGAAAGAAGGCTTGTAACCTTAGAAGGCAATACGTTGAACAGTGTGATCATGATCCCTCATCATTGGCTAATTTGTTGCCTGTCGTTAGTCATTCGAAATACACCAATTGGAAGAACATCTCATCCCAAGGAATTGTGAAATGGACTCACAACAATTCAACGGGATCAAAAGACTAAAAGGATGTCAAATCGATAGCATTGTTTTCCTTTCTATTCCAAGTAGTTCGACTCCCCATTCACAATTGTGTTCATATGTGTTCATGTTTTCTGCGCAGTTCTTCTCTTGCGTCCTCCAACTTTTCTCGCAAACGCGACAGAAGTGGAGGCTTGGCCGGCTTTGCAAATCGGCGCATGGGCAGTAGTTGCCTTAGGCATTTGGATGGCAGTCAAAAAGGCTTCTTAAATGCTGAAGAGAATGGAATCTTATCATCTTCTGATAGAAAGATAGGACAAAATAGGACGAACTCAGTTCTGCGATCTTCACATCACCCTGGTCTCTTGGTCATCTCTTGGTCTCTTGGTCTCTTTCTGCGGTGCCTTCATCACTATGAATTGGTTCTGGCATTGGTAGCCCAACACAAACCAAAAACAATATATGGTGAGCACACGGACTCAACAGATTCAACCGGTCACAAAACAGGGTCAAACTTCAATTGTGCACCCCTCGCAAAAACATGCAAAAACGTTCACAACGTTCTCTCTGTTGTGTCGAGCGGAGCTAAGCCACTCGTTGCCGTCAGTCTTTCTTCTCTTGAAGTCACCCTCAGAGCTTCGCACAGGCAAGGAGAGAGCCAACTATACATGCATGCACAAGCAACACTGGCATGATATCAAATCAAGCCAAACACACGTGTACAGTCAGTCAGGACTTGCCTCAATGCTGAAGTGTTTCAAAGAATTTTTTCCCACCTCAGCTCCAATGGCGCTGTGCGAGTTGCTCGGTTTGGCAGCTATGCACGTGCAACTGAACCCAGAAGGGATCAATCACAGTTGGGCCGTTTGGGAAGTTCCTCGTGTGCTGCCGGGTTGTGAAGGAATGTGAAGAACACACTAGAGAGCCCGTAACTTGCAGCCATCTTTGCAAACCGTTTACACCAAGAAGCTGTTGCGAATGCCTTTTTGAAAGGCCCGCACGTCTTTAGCATGTCCTTGGTGCATGGATTATTCAAGACACCACATGAAACAATAAGTCTGCGAATCCATTCATGCTACATGTATTGCGAGGCAGGATTGGAAAATAGACTGAATCGATGCTCTTGTCGGCGTATTTGGCCGGGCAACATAAAGCATAGTATTGTTGGAGCTTTCCTGAGTTGCAAACTGTTGCAAATCACACTACCTCTCATGTTGGCTCACCAGAGCCAGTCTTCTAGGGACCATTCCGGCCGCACCAGGGTTGTCACTTGAGTTACAGCCTCATCAACAGCACAAGCAATGATTAAAGGCAGTCTTCAGTCTTTCATGAAGAAATGGAAGGTGCCTGTGCCAGTGCCATGTCATGTGTTTTGTTGTATTTTGTCTTTCAATTTAAGTGCAGTATTCAGTATAGCATGTCTATCTTCAGGGTACCTGGCCTGTGTCTCCATCCCTGTTGGGAAGACGCTGGTTCAAACGAGTGTGTCCTCCTGGGTTTATCAATTCTTTACAGAAACCACTTCTCCTAAGCCAAATGTATCAAAAGTTAAAGGATACAATTTCATGCCATTTCCATATAGACAGGCAGTAGGTGCAACAACATAAAGTGAAAATCACCATGGTGCAAATCTCTTACCAAAACACATTTCTCTACGCAGTAGTACAGAAATTGTACTCGTCGAATTGGGGGATGCTATCGGTGTTTGATTCACAGGGACATCCGCATCGGCAAAAGCAAGAAAAAGCCCTATCGAGGTCAATTGAGCAATCTTCATGACAACATATGTAGATGTTGATAGATGGTAACGTCCAGATCATGAGACTGCCAATGTAATTCGACCACTCTGGTGTTCTCTGAGGGGCCGCAAATAGCACTCGTCCATCTGCCAGCTCAAACAGTGTTGCCGCAGCACTCCACATATCTGCTCGGGTACTGTACCTTGGAAGCCACCCCTTACCCGTTAACACAAACCAAAGTCGTGCAACTGATTGGGCTCGGTACATCCAAGAAACTACCAAAGTAGTGCCAGGCTCCAACCGGACAAACCCTTGCACACATATCCTTCAATTTTCCTAGGCAAGATCTTTGCGTCTCCAGCACTGACCAGTACTTGTACAGAATTTTCTTCAGAATAAGATGCGATTGCCCCAGAATGATCTCTGGAGCACGATAACCTCAGCCAAACACATCTCAGAAATCATCCTAAAACCAAATGTACTGCATCCATCTTGGTGTCATTTACGTCGTCTATGATTGTTTATGCCAGTGTTGACAGCGCAATTGGCCTCCAATCAAATGCCATGACGAATCGCCTTTTGCGCTGAGGCACAAGTGCCACCTATGTGTGCAGGAAAAAGATTGAAAACAGGTGTCATGGCTATTCCACCTGCAAGGAGCTGCTGGCATAAGCTCTCCGGATGTGTTTGATTTGCACTTCGTCTTGGGTATCAATCGCACCTGTCAGCACAGTCAGCACAGGTGTTGTGACGTGGCTTCCCATTGTACTTCTCTCTCAAGTCTTAAGTCAGGTGCAACCGTGCAACCTGTTGGTCAATCCGTTTGCCAACAATGGTCAGCACGTGTGGGGTTGAAACGCTTGGAACCAAGAGTCATTCTTAACATGGTCCTCCTCAAGCCTGTGCAATGGCTGTTGCTGTACACCAAGTCACAACCAAAGTCGGATAGTTTCACCGACTTTTTGTCCAAAGACATCAAGAGGTTGTCTGGCTTGATATCTGTGTGAATGATCCTGAATGCAAAATGGTCACTAAATGAAAACGGCGGATCCATTCATTGCCACTTGAACCTTCTGCTTTGTTTAAAGCTTGAATGCCAGGAGTGGCATACAAACAGATGTCAAACAAATCTCAAACATAGTCTGTCGCACTCAGTACAGGAAAAAAAAGAATCAATCATCATTGAATCTCCTGATGGCACGAAGAGCACGCAATGCGAGAAACAAATCCCCAGCATATCGCTCCAAGTCCTGCAAAAGGCCGAACTCGAAGGTAGAAAAAAAACACTGGTCAGCACCACAAAGAGTGCAAATCAAATGTACAAAATTGCATAAACGTCCGCAAATCGAGAGAAGAGGTGAGATATGTATTATGGAGTGTAATGAAAGACCCTTATAGGGTCATCTTTTCTGATTATGTTTTTACCTTCAACCTCCTTCACCGCTCCGGTCAGACTGCTTGCGATCTCTTGAAGCGCCACTAGTCTATAGGTTCTGCTGCAGAGACCACATATTCGGCCAAGAAGGCAAGCATTTGAGGAAGCTTTCAGTTGGCTCAATTGAACTGCAGGGCCACACAGCATGAGTTGGCAAAGCCATTTCGGGGGATGCACCTATCATAGTCCATTTGCCGACGGATCACTCGACCGGAACCCGACCGGTACTGAACGGCCGATGGTGGTCGAAGGAACACCGCGAAGGCCACGCCTGCAGCGGAAAGCCTCGGCGTTCTCCCAGGCGCCGGAGGGCCGTGCGCAAGTCATAACGCCTCGACCCACGACGGGCCGCGTCGGTGGGTGGTCGGGGTGGACGACGGAGGCGGTACGCTGCCCGCGTCAGTCATGGCCCAACATGCCACGGCGTGCGATGGCGACAGCACGGCGGCAGTTGGGATTGTTCAGTCGATTCGCTTACAACTCATGATGCTGTTAAATCAGCTTGCGAGAGCTGTGCAAGCAAATAATGCACACAAATTCTTCACAGACTAGTAGATGTCATTGGCCGTCCAATTTCTGGGAGACTGACATTGTTGCCCTACTGCCCCTACTTGCCTCAGCAACCCTATGGTTTCCCCAGGTGAACGGCCGTTGCACCATCTGCAAGTACGGTGAAGCCTGGCTACCCAAGGCAGCTCTGGGGTGTGTACTGCACATGTAGAATATAGAAGAGTTATAAAGTGGCTGTTCCCAAGTCAAGCGTCTGCAAATGGAAGATCAACGCCAAGTGCCTTGACAACTGCAGGGGAACGATCACTTCAACTTGATAGTAAGCAAGAATCGTGGGTCAAATCGCAATAATTGACCTACCACCACAGCTCTAGTAGGCAATGCCCAAAAGTTGTATTAGAGGGTCACGAGGCACTACAGTACAAAGCAACAAATGAGTTCAATATCTTATTCGGTTGTGTTCTGAAGCCAAAGTGTCAAACTTGAGAACAGGAAACAAGCTGTCAATGTATATATTTGCGTTGCAAGGTCAAGGAGGTGTCAAATGTTTAAAGCATAGATCCTCTCCTGTTTCAAAGCCAGGCTGCCCATGGTGCATGAACGTCTCCTAAGATGTATCGCAAATGGTATTTACAAGCACTGGAGCTTCAAGAGTAACTCAGAAAGCCCTAAATGCTTCAAAGACAGCCAGCTTCTTGAGGTTCTGTTGAGACCTTCTCAGTGATTATTTTTCTATAATGCTATATTGCAAGATTCAAAACCCACACGGAAGCCTCTCCATCCAAGTCTCTACCCCAGCGAGGCCCAGCAAGCAGTTGGCCCCTTCCGAATCCTTCTCAACCGCCTGCGTCACTGAATCGTCGGACAAAAAGCTACCACCCCGGAAAGCAAAGCTGCAAGGTCACGCTCTCTCCTCAAAAATAGCATACATTAAAATACACTTATCTCTTTTCAGACACGATTTCGTCTTGTCCAAACTCCATGTGATGAATGGCACTCTTGAGCAGCTTTGAACCAGCTTCCCCCATGGGACTCCTTGGTTCTGATGCGCCGCATCAGCCGAACTTCAGCCCTCGGACAAGCATGATAAGCAAGGATTGACGGCGGATTCGCTGACCACTAAACATTTGACATGTATCCCAGGACGGGATGGGGGCACAGTTCAAGGTAGACAGCGAACAAGAACCCTGTAGGTTAACATTGCAAAAGATAAAAGCAATGTCTGTGTTAGTCCCCTTAGAGCTTTCACAGCCGCGTTCTGTGCGTATGCGAAGCGCATGGAAGCTGCCAAGTGTCCTGCTAGGTCGTTGGTGTTGCTAGATGATATCCACAGCCATGAGGTGTTGCAGCTTCACCCATGAAAGAAGAAGAAAAGGGCGGCTACATGTCTTTTTACCCCAAGACTTGTAGTCTCGATTAAACTAAACCTTGGAGACATGTTATGTCGCACTAGTGAGAGTTCACAAGACTCATTACCTTTGACTAGGCCAGGGTTCTGGGTTCATATATATATTATAGAATCTATGCGTCTCGAGGAATCTCTTGTTTCTGTGATCTCGCCGAGCTTCTCTGTGGCTTTACGCAAACCAGGGTTGTCTCGAATAAACTTCACAGCATACTCCTGGCTGGTCACTTCTTTGGATATGTGTGAGTTCTGATTTTCATGGTCGTCTCTCAACATGTCCATCTCAGTGTTGGGAAATCTTGGCACGAAAAGATGTCTCTATATAACTATATATATATGCGGAATGTAACACGTACGTCGCTTCCACAAGTATCCGATGTTGGACACTGGTAACTCGGTGATTGAGTCCTTCCCACGACCTTTGGTATCAGAGCAGCGGAAAACACTGCTGAAGGAACCTCGGTCATAGCCATAGCAACTTAGATGCAGGTCATACGCGTACAGCCTGTGTTTGATGCTCACACGTTAGGTATCACACCACTGATCAGTGCTCCGAAAAGACGTCTGACTCCCGCAGTGGCACTCCAATCCTCAGTCACCTTTCTAGTTAGCTGGGGTACAAAAATTGAGAGGGAAATTGAAGGACAAACTCAAAACATATGGCAAATTATTGCAAACACTAGCACCTTTGTGGGACCAAGAAAGGCAGGATTGAGAAGTGCATCGTGTTTCAATGTGTTTCATATGATCAACAGCCACGCCTTCTTTGACCCATTCAGAAAATTCACTGAAACTCTTGGTGGTTCGTTCACATGTCCCGTTTCGTTCCCGCTTCGTCTGGTCCCTTTTTCCAAGCTGCCTCTGCCCAGGGGTCCTTCGACCAAAAATCGATTCTCAGGGCCACAAGGCTCACCTGCAAGCCGCTGCGTCGACAGCGTTCTGGCTTCCTCTTGGTCCGAAGCTGGATGATGTTCATCATAATTGGTTTGGCGTGACAAGGACTCAGAATTTATCAGAATCAGAAGCTAAAACCATCGAAAAGGCGCACAAACGCAACAGCTCTCCTTGATTCTGACTTGAAATAGCCATGTGTTTCTTGGAATGGTGTAGCTACCGAACCACTCAAGCGCTCTTTTTGGGTTTGGGCATCCTCAAGAATGCACGTCCTGAATCAGCTCATGGGGATCAAATGCCAGCGAAAATCGGTTAAGAGGTTGATGCTTTGTTGCGAAGGGATCATACAAATCAAAACGTGAAAATATGTCAAACATTCTTGTAAACATGGGTCTTCAACAATATTGCCACGCTGTATACAGAGTGGAGCCGGCCAAAGCTGGAAATTGGATGAATCATACAGCAAGAGGACGAGCAAGATGCTAGCCAGCCTTTACTTTGTTGGAATATGTTGGAATGATTGCCCAAGGCTGAATCACTCCACTGATGGTCGTGTCATTTCCGCAGCCGCCACTCCCCCAACTCCCCTTGGTTGAATTTGTGGTCTTCAACTTGTGGGCTGGCGAATGTTCAAACCACCCCAGGGCCTGCTGAAGGGCCTAGTTCTGGATGGTCTGGTGTATGTGCTGGGGGAGAGATCAACATGGCAAATAAGGCATCAAAAGGCCGAGCCAAGCTTAGACTAGATTCTTGGACACAAATGACTCTACACTGACTATTATCAACGAATCAACTCCATAGAAAGTTGCGCTTCAACCTCCAGAATGCTCACCGCTAGACTGGAGCGATTGCTCCAAGTCCACAGGAAAATATCACGGCCAAGAAGGTCACCTGAAAATTTGTTCACAACCAAATCTGAGACTTTGCAATAGCTCATAGATGCTCCTAGCTCCTTGAAGTTCTTCTAGGCCGATAAACAGCTGTGCCAATGTGGTGAGTGCGCTTGCCATGGGTCGTTCCCCATCTGCGAAACGGGCGGTGTCGCAGTCCTCTCGGATTGGGCTGTTCAGTTCTGTCATTGAAAACACATGCCAAATCGTGGTGCTAACAATCCTGTCCTTAAGTAAAGTCGTCCACTGTTCACTTGGTCCTGCGGCAACTGCCTCCAGCAAACAAAGCCTTCTAGAGCGAAGCCTCGGCCTCCCTACCGTTTCAACGGCCCTTTGGGCTTGCAGTGGTGTCTCTTTGGACACATGTGGCGCGGCATGGGAGAGGTATGTAGACAACTTTGGATGACTTCTACGTGCAGCTCACGCGGCAGCTCGCGAGGAAGAAGCCTAGGAAAGCTGTTCACATTCACAGTGTATGACAAACACAAGCACCAAAAACACGCTCCTTCAGAATCTTGTTCTTTCAGTCCTCCTACATGTACTGTATTCAAGCGTTGACAGACTGAGCCGGTGAAAAGGGGTTTCCCTGTCGCCTGGCCTTTGTGGGTGATTGCACACGGCTGGTCGCTGGCGAATAGGTCGGAGGCTGATTGGTTTCCAGTTGACGAGCAATTTGCCCTGGAACGTGCAGATCTGCATGGACATCGTTCCAAAGCCAATACATACAGTGAATTATTGTCTTATAGAACTTCCAGTTGCTTCCTGCGCCGAGGTCTGCCAAATTGATGTTTTCCAAGTTTGTCTCAAGTTTTTGACCCAAGGTACGGATATTCTGTCCAGGATTGCCCACCAAGCTTGAGTTCAGCCCCCGCCGCCTGGGGCACGAGGTCTAGTCCGTCCAAACAAATGTACAGCTGAATTACTCACAAATCATAACTGTGAATACTGTGAGGTAAATCACCAGTCAATACCTCTCCCTTCTGGAGCAACAAAGCTGCTCAGCTCGACCAATACGTAGAATACCAGTTCCACAAATTGCTGACCTTTTCTCCCAAGTCACGGTGTCTCTGTTCGTGGCTGATCAGGCGTCCTGAGTTCAAGTGCAAGACTCTCCCACTTCAATTTTGGGGTGTTCGGCCATAAGCCACCCGTGACACACCCAAACCCTGATGGCACCAGAAACAACGTGTTCGCTAAATTTAATATTGCGAATTTTTCCTAGCCAAAAGAAGGCTGAGGGCGCGTCTTCATGATGTGAGAAATGCTAAACATGATGACATGAAGAAGCTACATACTCCTTCTTGGTAGTGTGAGCGACTTAATTTGCTTCTTTGAGTTCACTCTACCACTGTAGTCCATTTTCTTCCATTCAATTCTTGTCTCTGCAGGCTTATTATCACATCTCTAAGGAACGGCGTTCCCAAAGATTGGTGGTATCTCTGTTTGTGGTCTATGTGGAAGCTCCTCATGACTGTACATTCTAACAACTCTTGGTACTTCTCCATTTTTTTTGCCTCTTGCAATCCTCTACTCATGAGATTCCAGTGTCTTTCATGGAGTTGCTCAAGTTTTGCTTCAAGTCGACCACACATTTGGCTTGATTGTTCTGTTATATGTTGTTCTCTGATTGATATCTCCCTGTTTTCATCTTGAACATTCTATTCAATGGTCCTTCTGATGGAACTGCTCCATCCACAGCTGCCTACAACGTTACTCTGTGTCCCGAATACTGTCCTCTGTTGCCCTCATATCTTCTAAGCTCCTTCTGGCTAAGAAGTTTCCTGCGTTCAACCCTCCTAGCACATCATAGCTGAGAGTTGTTGAAGGTTTGGTAGTCTGGTACTTCATGTTGAATTGCAGCCTCCATTGAGACTCAATCCACAATAAATTTTCCTGGCGTAGTTAGGTAAAAGATTAATTTTCTCTTCATGGTTTTCTTCTTCGCAACTTCCAATCTTGCTTTCGAGTGTATCAATCTCCTTCTCACCTCTGCTGATTAGGGTCTCCAAATAATCAAATCTGAAGCGGCTTGAAAAGACTATATACACTGAAATAGCTGATCTGAAAGTGCTTGTAGATCTTGAAGAGTACCAAGATCGCTGTTGCAAAACCCTTTGATGCTGAACACAATGATCATGACAATCCAGAATTTCCATTCTTCATTGGATTTCTTCATTGCTTCCATTTCTCTTTCAAGAACGGCTCTGTAGCCGCTGAACGCAAGCCCTCAAACGCAACCATTCTGACAATCATTTTGGCAATCTTAGTGGCCTTTCCTGCCAAATTCCTCTTCTCTTCAAACACCCTTCTCTCATACTCTCCTACTCTGACTTGATCTTCACTGCGCCAATATGCAGTGAGGTTCATCAAGTAAGTGGCTTTGCGTTGATGCCTGCCATGTTGCTATCTGTTGGTACTTGTACCATCTTGAAGTCTTTCCTGTTCTGAACCCATAGCAACTTTCCATCCAAGTGCCTCACGTTTCCAACTCCTCTCTTCATCACAAGTTGGCTTGCACTCGAAGAATCTGTGAAGATGCAGTGGCCCACCTTTGCCCCAAGAGCAAACTCAAGAATTGCTCGAATGTAGCTTCCATCTGGCTAACTATTGCATGTAGTTCAGCTTCACGCGAAGATTTCTCGAAGATAAGTTAATGATATTCTGCGTCCCGCTGCTGTTGAACAATGGGCAACTGCTCAAATCATGGAATTCTCCTGATGTTGACTTTCTGTGGCTTTTGTTTTCCGCCAAGCACTAATAGCTTTCTCCTTTCTTGTCATATAGCCTTCTCCTGCTTGTGGAAGTTCAAGTACTAGACAATAGTCCATAGCCTTCTTCAAGTATCCTAGGACCTTCTTCAAGCGATGAAATGACATAGCCGTTGGATTTGACATTCTTGAAGCCACCTCCTTCACTCTACACGCTACATCATACCTCTCTTGGCATAGGTAGATACCTGATCCAACAATGCTTCTGAAAAGGCTAATCTTCTCTTGCTCACGCAAGACCTCTAACTTGTCTTCCATCTGAATTGAATTGTCTGACGGTAGTTGCTGCAGTTGATTAGGCCAATCTGATCCTCATAGCCCTTCAGCGTCTGCTGGATGTAGTTACCTGGTTGGATCCATAGTCCATCTTTCTCTAGTTTGCACTTTCTCCTCAGGAAGTTGAACTCGTCACCCATCTTCTCAATCTTGCTCACACTGGTGTCAAACCTCTCTTGAATCTCTAGAAGAAAGATCTCATTGGTGTACTTTGAGTCTCCTGTTAAAAGCATGCTCATTTCTTCCTAGGCAGTGACACTCAGCGCTGAACTTGTACTTGAGTTCCTCAGTGACGTACTCTGCGAAAAAGTCAACCCATGCTTTTGCTCCAACTCTCTGTCCAGGTCAACTCCTCTTCGCCAAAAGTTCCTCCTCTCAGGTTCACTTTCAATGTTTTTTCTTGTGGATCCTGCAAGAATGCGTCCTTCACATCAAGACATCCAAGCATCTGTGAGAATGCTCCTTCTCCCTCTCTTGCTTCTTCCTTTTCACTGACTCTCTGCAAGAATATTGTGGGTAGAAGCTTCCGTACATGTCCTGAAGTCTCTGGTGAGAAAATGTCATCTCTCTCCTTCAACGAAAGCAAAACTTTTTGCAACTAGTCTTGACCTTCTCTTCCACCTTTTGACTCTTGACTGTTATTCCATCTCCAAGTTGATATGGCTTGTTTCTCCAGTCGTACACATTGCGAGTTGCCAGGTAACTGATTCCTTGCGCTGCCTTTTGGTTTCTCTAGCACCTGCATCTTTTGGAGCCTTTTCTCTTTCACTTCATCAGCAACTCGGGTCTTCTTCTGGTTCATGTTCTCCACCGCACCAAAAGCATTCAGTTCCTTTCACCTCTTCCAAGTCTGACTCACCTCCTTCTTCTACCCAGTCTTCTTCAACAACTTCTTCTGCAACTGGGGATAGCTCTTCTTCCCAATTTTTACCAAATTGATCTTGGCATTCTTGCTTGAGTCATCTGATGGCCTGAGCTTCGTCGTTGGAGTTTCTTCCTCAAGCAATTCAAATGCTTCCCTTGGTCTCGACGGCGCTGATGGTGATCTCAATGAAGATAGTATAGGAGTAATTGGATTAGGCTGT